ATGTGATACTTAAACTTGTGTCTCTGGCTTATGTCTCTTAACGTTATGGTCTCAAGATGCATCCGTTTTCCTACAAATGACTCAAGTTTATCCTTCTTTATGACAGAGTAGTACTCCATTGTGTATAAATACTATACTTTCTTTATCCGTTCGTCTGTCGGTGGGCGTAGTGTTGTTTGATCTGTATTTCTTTGATTTCTGGTAAATGTGAGCATCTCTCCAAATGCTTCTTTAGCAACTTGAGTCCCTTTTTGTGTAAACTGCCTGTTCACATCCCATTTGGATTTCTTTGTAATATGTGTTAATGTTTGGTAAGGCAAATCTTTTTTGCTCTTTTGTTGACATAATTTTTATAGGTGCCTACATTTTCTAATAAGCATATTGTTTCTCAAAATGTGATGAATTTTAAGTATTAAGTTTGTATTGCATTTGTAGGTCATTGGAAGAGAGAATTCACTCCTTAAAAATTTGTTTTGAGAATTCATCTTTATAACATTACATCCCACCATCTAAGTGCGTGAAATATCTTTTCCGCTTATTTAGAGTTTCCTTTATATGCTTTAGAAAATAATTTAACTTTCTTCCATGGTATATACTTAAATCTTGGATACCTCAGTTTTTCTGTTATTAACCATAGAAAGCGGTGAGCAAAGGAAGTTGGTAAGTACTGAGAACTACTAAATAATTATTGATTTTAAAATAGTAACGATAGCTGATTTGCAGTAAAGGAGTAAGAACAAAAACTATACATCATAGAAGATGGCAACACAGAAGATGGAGATGGCAATCAGAGAATAAACTTTTCCAGTCCTTGCTTTGTTAGGAAGGAGGGAAGACTGATTAACCTTAGATGTGTTAGTCAGGATTTGTGTTTTGTATGTTGAAGATGCCATTTAAAGGTTAGGAATAAAATATTTCCCAGGAAAACCAGATTCCTTACCACTGGTCTCTGAGGGTCCGCAAAGAGAAGATGGGGAAGGGAACCAAGCTGCAGGCCATGTCTTAGTGTGGCAGACAAAGGTGGCTGGCTTATTTATTTATTTACTTGTGGGGGGGGTGGCATTTCTAAATGGAGAAAGGTGAAGGAAATGCACATTTTTTTTTTCTTGCAGAAGATTAGCTAATTCAGCCTTTGTTTAGTGTCAACCCAGCTGGCAGCTGGGAAAAGCCATCTAACACATGGGGCTCTGAGCTCCGTCACCAGTCTGTCCTGAGGCTCATGACACCCATTTCCAGACCATCCCAGCAGCCCTGTGGTCACCACATGCCCCATATGCCCCGGGTTGGGGCCCTGACTCCATTCCCTGCCCACCTGCATCCTAGCTCCAGCCCCAGGCTCTGAATGTGTCCCTACCTCACACGCCACCTGCCATGTCCAGACAACATCATCGCAAGGCAGGATCTGCTGGGCAGGCACCATCCACACATGGTTTCTACTATGGCCAGGTGCAGGGGGACCGTGGGTGAACCACTTCATCTGCCAGACCTCCGAGGTCTCAATGGCAAAGGGGTGACAGTGACCCTGCCCCTTGGGTCGATGCGAGGCATGGATTAGGATAAAGTGCACGGAGCGTGCCAGGCACAAAGCAAGCACAACGCACCGTTGAGTTAACAAAAGATAGTTCTTAGGGACCCTGTGTCACAGGTGAGGAAACCCAGAAGGAGGCCACAGAATCTTCCAGAACACCATCATGTTCAAAACTGTTAGCTATTTTTACTGACAGATGCACAGAATAAAACAATTGTGGTGACAAGCATTAGGAATCAGGAAATCTGGGTTTGAGTTCCAGACAGTTTGTCTGTCTGTTCTGCCCACCCACCCTGGTACTGAGCGTTGGACCCAAAGCCTTTACCCTGAGCTACATTCCCAGCCCATTTTTATTTTGAGACAGGAGCTTGCTAAGACCCTAAATTCCCCAGGCTGGGCTTGAACTTTCAATCCTCCTGCCTCAGCCTCCTAGAGGGCTTGGATACCACACCACACCAGGGAGGCTGACTGAGGCAAGAGAGTCATGAATTTGAGGCTAGCCTGGGCTACATACTGAGTAGTATGATGCTATTTCAAAATAAAACAAAACACAAAATCAATAAAATAAAAATTGAATCTCCCAGAGCCTGTAAAATGGGGGTAAAAACACTTGCCCCCCTCCCACCCTGGGATGTTATCAAGACAAATAGGATGATATAGATAGGAGCTGAATTCAGATTTGGCCCAAACCTCAGGGTGTAGGAGGGATAACGCCCAAGGCCTCATTGTGCAAGGAAACTGAGGCTTATGGGAAGCGTGGGACTTTGATGGGGTTACTGTTTCAGAGAAGTAATTTGTCTAGAAATGGACATGGAGGGGAGCCGCCAAGGAGGTCAGAAAACAAAGTGGTGACCTTCACCCCAGAGCGATGGGGAGATGAGGCTGAGTTAAAAGGCCGCAGGCCCAGGGCTCCCCGGCTTTGCTTCCCAGAGTTCTTGGTGCGGGGCGGCCTCAGAAAGTGCTACCTGGTTTGTGCTCCTTGGATTTCTTCCAACCGCCCTGTGGAACTGCCAACTTTTTCCACATTAAGAACAAATCAAAAGAGATTTTTCACGAAGCGTGAGGTAGTGGACGGGAATGAGAGCAAATCAAATTCATGCAAAAATAGAGGAAATTAATTTTTAAAAAGCCCAACCAAACACCCTGTAATTTTCAGTGATTTCCTTTCAGGGAAACTGTGACCACTGTCACTATAAACAAAGCAGAGAATAAATAAATAAAAAGGGAAAGAAGGTTGTGTTTTCCCTCCTGGCCTGCCTGATGGATGGTTTACAGAGGCCCCGGGTGAGAGTCAGCCTTTAATTGTTCCCAGATGGCTCCTGCTCGGCCCGGCCCGCTGCTGCCCAGAGCCTCTGCCTGGCCTGCCGGGGGCACACTGGTGATGCTCAGACCCTCGCTCCGGGCTGTGTGGGGCCAGAGGCGCGGGACAAAGGTGCATGACGGTGGGAGGGATGGGCAGCCACAACCAGAGAAATGAGCCAGCACCCCTCAGTTTGGCTCCTGGTGGCTGAACTTGGACACCGACCCTGGGACCACCTTGGAGTTCCTGTGCCTACTTCTTCTAGATGTCACCTTCCTCAGCTGTGCCCAGCACCGTGCTCTGGGGCCACCATGTCCTGTGTCTGAGGGATCTACCTACCTCATGCCTTTTCCGGTACCCCCAGATTGAGGCATCTGGACCCATTATGAGAAGCAGCCCAAATAGCTGGATCTGGTGGTGCACACCTGTAATCCTGGCATTCTAGGAGGCTGAGGCAGGAGGATTGAAAGTTCAAGCCCAGACTGGGCAACTTAGAGAGTTAGTGAAAACTTGTCTCAAAATAAAAAAAGGGGCTGAGATATAGCTCTGCATGAAGATCTTGGGTTCAATCCCCTGTACCCCCCCACCTAGCCACAAAAGACAGCCCAAGCCCATTCGGAAATGAGGCTGGGGGTTCCTGGGAGTGGTTGGGGTCAGGTCCTATGATTGCCCTCAGCCAGCATGGCTGACCCACTTGTCCTTCTCCTTTGCCCACACTGCCACCCCAGCGCCTCTGCTGCTCGTCCACTTCTGTGGCCTTCAGGAGGTGGCCCTGGAGGAGCACATAACCCCAGGTGGTTTCCTCTTTCCCTGGGTCACGTGAATGTCACATAAGTGGGTCCCTCCCTCCTGCTCAGTGGCTCGGATTGGGCAGGAATGGGGTGGGCATGGAGCCAGGTTCTGACTTGTCCTTTCTCAGTCCTAACCTCTCCCTGGACTGCAGTTCAGGGATCCAGGTGCCTTTACCCGCCTAGACATTCCCCTTGTACGTGAGGAGACACAGCCTTTTTCTTCAAAGAATGTGAAAATAACTTCTTAGTAGTTGAATCTCTCTTGCAAAACAAATATCACGATGAGTTAGGGTAAACGAATCAGAAACAGATGGATAAAATTTCTCTGCAATACACAGAATTTCAACCCAGAGGGGATGGCGGGGTGGGGGGGGTGGATGGGGGCAAAAGGCACTTGGGGTTTCCATAAACCCCAAATACAAGGGAAGGGCCCGAGCCATTTGACGGATCCAAGCGGCTCATCTGGGAGCACCGGCTCTGCATCCGAGAAGCCTGGGCGGCCTCCAGGGAGCACGGTTATCAAGAACACGGGGCAGCTATCGAGTTTCTAAAACACGGCTTCTGAAAATAAACGGTTCTAATTTACAGTATACCTTCTCCCCACCACTCCCCTGGAGCACATGGCCCCGTGGAAGATGGAAATTATTTCGGAGATAACCAGTCACTGGGTTTGGCATCCATCCTGCAGCAGTTAGATGGGTGTGCAGAGGCCCTGATTGGTGGGGCAGGAGCGTGCTGGGTGCAGGGCGAACGCATCAGTGGTTTTGACAAGAATGTGAAAATTCTATACTTTGTGACAAAGTTGCCCCAGGGTAGGCAGACTGCTCACAAATCGGTTACAGATTTCCCCGAAATGTGTAGGGACTTCCATGCCGAAGAAAGGGGGTGTGGAGCCCAAATGCAACTGGGGCTTTTCTAGACTCAAAACCTGGAAGTGAAGGAGTCGAGGACGATGACCCGTCTCCATAGTGGGCAGACCTCACGGTGCGAGGGGTGCGTCTGCAGGGTGGCTTTACGGAGTCCTCCGGAGCAGCTCCTGCCTCCTGGCTCTCCAGTCTGCCCTACGGTGTTAGCCTCACCTGCAAAACTGTCCTGAGCCTGTAGCCACCAGCACCACACAGCCATTTTCCCTGTTCAAAGGATGAGCCTGCCTTCCAGGTGGAACATTGTATTTTGAAAAAGAAACCAAACCGAAAATGTACTCCAGCATGTCCTGAATTTAATTTCCTCCGGAAGTGCTTTAGAAACTTCAGCACGCACCCAGCTGCAGTCCTTCCTAGAAAATCAAAAGCGTTAGCGAATCTACTAATTCATCCTTAATGTATCTAAAGTGGGACGATTCATTTTGCTTACTGCATTAATATTCTCTCAGCCGGGGGCAGTAGAGTCTTCTGAAGCTGGAAATCTCTGGCTCCTCCTCCATGGGGCCCTCTGGCTCGTTCCTTAAGACGCCAGCCGTCCTGTGTGTCCTGGATCCACACACTGCCCCATCCCCCTCCCAACATTCTCAGTGAGGACAACCTCCCTCACCTTTTGAGTGGCCTGCACCATCTCTCCTTGCTGTTCTTTCTGCTTTACCACCAAAGTGTAGCTGCTCCAGGGCTCATCAACAGACTCAGATCCTGTCCTTGTGCTGCCTAAAAATGTCACTGGCTTCCCACTGTACTGAGAAGTGCATCCAAAGTTCTCACTGTGACCCTCAAGATCATGTGTGACCTTAACCCTGGTTCCCTCACCATGTTCCCCATTTCCCTCCTCAGCACCCCTCCCAGCCAGCCGAGCCCCCCCAAGCCCTTCTCACATGTACATCACCAACGTCTCTACCAGGCAGGAGCCTTGATCCAGAAGAACAGCGAAGGGAATCACCTTGCCTTTCTGAGCAGCTGCGCAGAACTATGATTTACATAAGAAACATGCTTGCATAGCTTTGAGATATTTGCTTAACAGTTTAGCCCACACTCATAAATTCAGGGTTCATATGAAGCCCCACTGATGTTAGTCCCCAAGTTTTGATGGCTCTAAGCCCTGAATAGCATGAGGGCAGGGCCTTGTCCTCCTCACTCAGATTCTTCTGGATGTTCTGGGTGTAGGCCCAGTTCTGTGCCTCCCCTTCCACCTGCTTCTGAAGGGATCCAAGGTGACTAAGGCACAGCAGTCAACTCCACCCAGGGGAGTTAGAGGCATGCTTTGAGGTCTTCAGGGACAGCTTGATTCAGAGGCTCTACACAGCCAAGGGATCTGGCACCTCTTCTCAGCTGTCCCTGGGGAAGGGCAGGGGCCACAAGTGGCTGGAAACGGCTGGGAAAATCTGAATGGTATCACTCAAGGTAAAGGCAAGGACAACCAAAACCATCGTCCTCCTGAAGCCTCCCTCCCAAGGTCAGGAGTGGCCACTTGAGGTAGCAGGCAGAGGGAACAGGTGGGGCAGCACATAATAGAGGTCCCAGGAGCTCAAGAGAAGGGCTGTGGCCTTGCTCATGGAGCAAAGGGGTCTCCCTAGGATACCAGTCATTTAAAACATGTGCCACAAAACCATAAGATGCTATTTCCTGAGCTGCCTAATTTGAAAGCCCACAGCAGTGATTCAGTAATAAAAATATCATTTCCTGTTCCACACGAGGAACGTTTCCTGAGTGCCAAAGTTTCCACTAAGAAGCCTCTTGCTCCGTGACAGAACACTTGTTCCTTGTCGCAGTCAGCCTCTGTCACAAGAGGAGGTGCAGTGTAGACGCAGATCCCAGCCCCAGGGACTCAGCTAGCTCAGGGCAAGTTCCTCACCTCTTGGCCTTAGTTTCCTGACGGAAGCAAAGGTGAAAGCTGTGTCTGAAGAATGAAGAGGATTGAATTAATAGAGGCACAAAAAAACCATGTAACTGCCTGAAAGTCAGAGACTCTTACAAGAAACAGATTTTCTCTGGCTGAATTCTGCAACACAGGCATAGACTATGGCCTTATATTTATCAGATATTTGAACCAAGTAAAATAGCCATCTAATTTGGAGAGCACTTTTATGTTTTGTTTTTGTTCCAGTTCAAGTTTTTATTTTCATTTTTAACAAATTATACAGATCCAGTGATTTTTTTTTTTTCAAGCCAGCTTTGCTGGTCTGTTGGAAAATCTTTGGTTTGGTTAGTGGCAACATTTGAAAAGTAGCACTTGGGTTTGGTTTGGCTTTTAGTTGAAGAGAGCAGTGTGGGCTGGGTTGGGGTGCACAGTTTGGCTCAGTTCAAAGCCAGCCATGTGAGTTGACTTCTTTCTCTCTTGCTCGTGGAAATTGGGAGGAGTGGCGGGAGGAGGGGTACCACTATCAGGACCTCAATGTACCCACAAATACTGCGTGTCACTGGGTGCAGGCTCTGGAACCAAAAGTGATTTGAAAACTGTGACCTCCGCAAGCATCTTGGAACAAAGCAGCAGTAGGGGTCTCAGAACCTGGTATTGTAGGACCAAAGCAGAGACAGGTTTTTGTTTAAACATTTTTTTTTCAAATTTTAATGAGCAGCATAAAGCCTTTACCAAAAAAATGCCCACAAGCACTAAGAGGATCCCACGGCAGAAATAAGTCTCAACCTGAAAGTTCAGCAGATATTTGTTCTTAGTTCACGTCCGTTGATGAATTTTTACTTCTGGCCTCGTGTTATTTCAGAACCACTGAATTCACAGACAATGTCGGAGTCATCTATTATGACACCACTTCAGATATATTTTCCCAGCTACTCTGAGGTCAAGTAAATTTCCAACCCTCCTGATGGCATAAGAGGTGCCGAGGGCACTGGAGATACCTGAGGACCCTGACGTTGGGCATCCTGTCCTACCTCTAGCATCTCATCGCAGGAGGGTGTCTACAGAAGCATCCCTTAAGCCCCCAGGGAATCCATGGGCACTATCCATACCCACTAGGCCATAGTGGGCGTATTCACTTTTCTGATGGCATCTCAAATACTGAATTGAGATTTACATCCACAACTGGAAGAACAACTAGTCAACCGAAGTTGTCTTGGCTGTTTCCTCACCCTCTCCAGCCAATTAAGATGGAGGCCTCCTTCACAGTAAGAACCTACATTTTACTGCTCTCATCCCTGAGCTCCTGCCAGATGTCCCCCAAACATTTCTGGGAGTGGTTTTCTGTTATGGTTTCAATTTCAAATGTCCCTCAGAAGCCTCACCTTTGGAGGGGGGCCCTGGTTGGAAAGGGTGGATCACTTGGAAGGGTGTGTTCCCTTCCCTCTCTGCCTCCTGGCCTCTATGATGTTCTGACATTAGGTTTCCGCCTTGGAGGTGGCGACCATGGACAGAATCCAATGAAACTGGGCCCACATAAACCTCTTCTGCTTTAAGTGGTGTCTGGTATTTTGTCTTGGTGACCATAAAATGACCAATATATCCCCTTAGCTCCAGCCCACAGTCCAGGGGAAGAGTCCTCTCTTGTTATCTGGGATGGCTGCAGGTTCCCACGGCTGTGCTATCCCAGACCTTGCTAGTGACACATTTCTCTTTCCCTTCTTCTTTCTAGCTCCTTACATGAAAAATGAGTCCATGTGTACTTCATGTGACAACCTAGAGTAAGAGATTTGAACTCAGACTCTAACTCTGGGTACCCTCTGTTCCTGAAGGGTGTTGCCTTATCTGGTTCATGTTGGCCTCACATGGCTGCCTTGTCCCTTAGGCTGTGTTCTTTGAGCTACTCCTTGTTCCTTTGCTCACACTTGCTTCTGTGACCCCAGCCATGTGCTCCTCTCAGACACACCCATGGGAGCAGAATTCCATTTTAGGCCTCTTCTGTCTTAAGGTCAATAGAGCCTAGGGGTAAATAAAAATATCATCAACTTAGACTTTGTGAGTTATCAGTTTATAAGTTTATATTCGCCCCATTAAATAAGCAACGACAATGTGCATTGCATCTATACAGATGACAGATGCACTTGCCACATCACCTGCTGTGGGTGTTTCTCAATTCACTACGGGCCTTATTTGGAAAGGCGTCAGAGAGAAACAGGGCTCTTCCTGCCTTTGAACTGGCTGAATTAACTGAGAAACTTGTATTTTTATTTACTACTTAGAGGCAATAACTCACCTTGCATGGAAAGATTTCCACAGCCTCTGAGGAGGTTTTTGTTTTGTTTTTTGGTACCGGGGATCAAACTCAGGATGTTGCGCTTGCAAGGCAGGCAGCAGAACCACTGAGCTAAATCCCCAGCCCTGTTAGCTTTCAGTTTTAGCTTTGCTTAGCTTGACTATCAGGGAAGGGCTCTGCAGACCTGGTCTTTCAGAGCCATGTGCCCCCTACTTCACCTCAGCTTGCTCCATTACTGTTCTGGATCCTGCAGACATACAGACACACATAGGTTCAGGCCGTTGACGCTGCCTCTTCCATTGTCACAAAACACACCAGTCTGGGATGAAGTCATTATCTGTGGTGCGCTGGCCAGTGTGAGACTAGTCTGCACATGTGGCCTATTACCATTATCCCTATATTTGCAGGCATTGAGAAACTATTCTCTTCCCCTTTAGTTTAGGCTGACCTTGTGGAACGTGATCTTGCTGGACTTCCAAGACCTAGCTCTAAGAAGTCCCGAAGCTCCAGCCACCTTGGAACTCTTGCACAGCCCCATATGAGTCAGGCTTCTCTGCTAGGGACACAGGTGTCACCGGCTCTGTTGTTTCAGTCTGGGCAGTGGAAGGGCCAAGCATTTGAATAAGACTTTTATTCATTCCTCCTCAGTCCAGCCTCCAGACTGTAGAATCATGAGCAAATATCTGGTTCTTGCTTGAACCCAGTATGTTATGGGGTGGCTTGTTTTGCAGCAGTGAATAGCTCATACATCAGCGCTAGCAGGTTGATTTTCTCTGGCAGTTTGTGTATGATTAACTTGAAGCTTTGTGGAAAAATGTGAGCAAATTCACATAAGGAGCTCAAAAGCCTTCCAGGAGAAACTAAAACAAGATCCCAACCTCTCTTCCCTGAGATGTCAAGGCAACATTAGGATAGATCCACCCCAGGTGGGGGTGCAGTAGCTCTCCTGAAATAAAGCCAGTTGAGTGGCAGTAACCAGACTCACCAGTGACTAGGTGCTTCCAGTCTAGTCAGTAGATACATGTGGAGGGACTCTGCAATTCCTTACACATCTAGGTTCTGTTGAGAACAGCAAGATTGACATCTGACAGTTCCTGGACAAACAGGGAAGGGGATCCAAAGGGAGAGACAGGTTGACAGAAAGGCTCAATATACTGGGGCCGTGCGCAGTGCCTTTGAGACAACACGGGGAGGGGGGCTATATTTTGACCCCTAAACTGTAAAGTCGGACATCCCAGGTGCATTCTGATTAGAATTTTGAGTTTTTCTTTTAAAAAGCAGATATTTCATCTTCAGGAGAAAAAAGTTGTTGAAAAATTAAACAGTAACAGAAGTTGTAGAAAAAATACGCTCCTGTTCATAAGCAGTGTCACTCTTATTTCCAAATGCATGCTGTGTGTAGCCAAATGCAAAGAAATAATTTCTTGCATATGATGAAAATTGTTCCTAACTTCCTCTAAGCCTAGTGCGTGAAAACAAACCCTTGCCTTCACTGAATATATGAATGGTTAAACTATTGATTTTCTTTAAATACAAAGCCTCCAAAAGAAAAGTGATTTGTTTTTTGTTTTTTTTTTCTTCTTTCAAACCAACAAATCAGACATAGCTCTACCTTGCTGAATTTGAACGCCAAATTTGTGCTTAAGGGAGACAGGGCTGACAGCCCAGGGACCTGAAGATCCCATTAGCAGTCATCCACACCCATTACCCTGTCTCTCTGGATTTCCTCCCATGCCACCATTCTAGCACTCTTTGCAAAGAGAACCGACAGACAGATTCTGAAATTTGCATACAGATCCTTCTTGATAGTCAAAATGCTTCAAGATGTGGCTGGAAAGCCTGGGTGCTTGAGTTCTGGGGATTTGAAAAAGGTGCTAGCTGGGCTCAGTCTTTTTTTCTCTCCGTGGCGTGGTGCCTAGAGTCACCCCTCCTCGTATCAGTGACCCTTCTCCCTTCTTTAGCAAGAACCCCTGAAGGTACCATGGCAGCCAGGAAAGTACTTTAGGAGCTCCTGGAGTTCAAGACTGGAGAAGTGGGAATGGGCACAGCGCAAGTATAGAGGGCAATTATTACGTAGCGAAAACATACCAGTAAAAATGATTAAGATAGTTTTTAAAGAAGTATCATTAAAAAGCCCCTAATAATCGCTTCTTGGCCTTTTGGCTAAGACCAAGTTTAAAAAGCCCCTAATATGTCAGAAACTAAGTTTTAAAAAAGTGTTACAGTTTGACACAGCTGGATTCCTCCAACTTCTTGCGTGTTTTACTTCATCCATTTAAAACGTTATTTTGGGATGGGGCGGGTCCCTGGGCGCCCCCAGGCAGCCACAGGGTCTGTACACAGAAGGCTCGAGAGACCCCGGCCGTAGGCTGCCTGGAGATACAGAGTTTGTGCCTGGTTACAGAAAGAGGCCCTGAGAGCAATTTTGCTCAAGCGTTACACCTTTCAAACATTTTTATAGGACAAGAAATATGGATGTATTATGAAGCAAACTAAAAGCTTTTAAGATAAAACATGAAACGTCAAATGCCTGATTCTGTGCACATGGCTGGTTATTTGGCCAGTACTCCCGAGCTTCCGGGACTCACAGCGGCCCTCTGTGCTGGGGAAGATACAACTCCTGAAATCCGAGCAGGAGCCCCTGGCTCTGAGCACCTGAGCATCGCAAAGGCTGAAGGCCGCATGAAGCAGCTGAAAGAGAAATTCTCCCAGGAGAAAACCTGGTTTGAACTCAGAACTCCGCCAGTGGTCAGCTGCGCGCTCCCAGCCCCTCGTCCTGGTTCCCCCGTGGGTGCCGCAGGGAAGCCACCACAACGGGGCCGAGCTAGGCACTCTCAGCTGAGCCTGCGACGCACCCAGGTGGACCTTACAGAAGCACGCGGAAGGCCGTGGGACACGCCCAGGGGCGGGGCTTACGTGGGCGGAGCACATGAGGACCCATGCACGTGGTGAGTACTGTGAGGCACGCACAGGTGGGCGGGGCGTGCGTGAGGGTAACAAGGGTGCGGACCTGCGCAGATGACCCCGGGTGCGTGTGTCCTCGCCTGACGACCTATTTGGCGTCCCTGAGCCTGTCCAGCCCAGGTAGAATGCCTGAGGTCGTGATGCCCTGGCAGGTGAGTGGGGGAAAGTCAGACTGTTGAGTGGCCTAGAGCCTGTCACTCTCATGCGGGGACCCCCAGAGACCCCTTGCGTTTGCTCTGAGGCGTGTGAGGCCCTGGGTTTCCTGGTCCCGTTGGGGTCTGCAGGTGGAGAACCCCATCCTGCGTGAGGCTTCAGCCTAGGCCACCACTTCCTCGCGACCAGAGACGTTGGGGGCCCGAGTTGTTAGTTGTGCCTCAGGTGGCCTCGGGAACTCGCGCTGTTAATTTTGCCACAGAATAAAACGTGGGAATGCTCTCCTTTTGTGCTTTGGCGTCTGAGATACCCTTTGTCAGTGTTGTCTGACTTAACTAACAAATGCTTATGAGGTTAGTGTTCCCTGCGTAATATCCTCTAAAACATGACTGTGGATTAGTTACCTTTCATTTTCAGGAATGTGAAAGAGCATTATGAAATGTTTATAGTAGAGATTAGGTGTTACACTCGTGAAGGTTGAGAATCACTTCTCTGAGCAAATGGCTCTTTTCTTTTTCGTTTTTTTGAGTAAAGAATCAGGACTTCAGGGTGGAAGAGACCTTGGAGGTAACGGGGTGACCTCCATCTAGGGCTCACCGTCATCTAGTTCTCAAATGAGAGCATTTGGAGTGAGGGCCGAGGTTGTCACATGCCTCTTTTTACTTCCTTCCTCTTGAGATGTGATGTGACCCTCTTGAGGTCCTGGACGGTACACAGTGGGAAGTGGGCTGGGGAATCAAAAGACCTGGACACGGCCAGCTTTACAGTGCCTGGGCGGGGTGTATATGCTGGGCTCAGTAGTCGCTCAAGATGTGCGTTTGAAGGTCTTGGCCTAAGCTGGAAAACCAGGCCCTGTGTTCTAAGAGGAAGTACTCTAGTCTGAGAGACTCAGTCTGAATCGGGGGTTCCAGAAATGTCATGCTGGTGGATAAACTTGTCAGGGGATCCATGTTCTGAGTGACATCCTGGCATCTGATTCTCGTTAAGTACTGGGCTAGTTGGAGGTGAGTAAAATGGGTGGGCTGGGACCAGTGGGAACCAGAGGGCATCAGAATGAAGGTATCTTCCTTGGGTACTTTGTTCTGGCGTCTAGAACGCCATGTTCTAGAAAGGATTCTATTAGAAAGGTGGGTAGGGGTTCAGCCAGGGCCAGCACCAGTGCTTCTGGCTGACTCAGTGTCCTGAAAGCTGCTTTGACAAGAGAGACCTGAAGAGCAGAACGCAGGGCTGAACCATGTCTTTCAGCATTCTGGCCACATGGCTGTGCTCCTTGGAGCAGTGAGGCTTCAGTCTCCTCCATCCTTCTCCCCTCTTCTGAATTTGCAACTGTTATCCCGTCCCATGCCCCATGCTCTTTCCTGGAGGGCTGGACAACTATATCCCACCTACTTCCTGTCCACCACCCCTCCTCCTCCAGGCTGACACAGAGCCCTCTGTCTTCCTGGGGAATGTAGTAGCAATTCTGAGCATGATGCTGGACAAGAAGTCCAGTTCCCTATAAACTTTTTATAGCTCAGGAAAATAAACATGTGGTTTAAGGTCTTTGCATAGGCAGTGCTCACTGAGTTTAAGCTTGCTTTATAGAACTACAAAAGAAAATATTGGTAGAATTAATAAATTTCTGAGCCAGCCAAGGAATAGTAGTCCAGAAATCTCACGGAGAGTTTGATGGTTTAGGAGATAAAAAGAGGTCATCTAGTAGTTGTTATCTCAGTCCTCTCCCCCTCGGAATTTGCCTGCCTGAGTTATGTAGCTGGGCTCCTGGGTTCCCTGGGGTAGGGCTGGATCACAGTGTTTCCAGCTGGGATGGCCCTAGGAATGCTTTTACAGATGAGGAAGCAGGGTCTGGAGAGAGGCGGTGATCTGCTGCTGTCACACAGCTCCTTGGAATTGGGACCTAGTGTACTGTTTGCTCAAGTGGCTTTCCAGGCATTTGCTGTATTCTGGCTCCAGGTGAGGAGGGAACTGGGAGAGCATTGGCTGATGTGTGCAAGAAGCAGGGCAGCAGGAAGGGTTCAGGGGCCATTTATGACTCTCACTTTCTGGCCATGTGGAAGAGCAGGGAGCAGAGAGGGAGAATGGCTGTGAGATTCTCAGTTGGAGCACTAGGTATTAAGAATAAACATCACAATCGTAATTGCTCTTGTTGCCATTTACTGAGCATTAACTCTGAGCCCCAGGACCTCTGTTATCTCACTGAATCCCCCATCCCTGAGATGGTCACCTTTCAGTCCCCAGTTTGCAGCTCTTAGAAGGCTGTGTCTTTTGTACACAGCCTGTGTCCTGACTAGTAGTTGTAGAGCCAAACTTGAAAGCCCCGGGGGGTGGGGTGCACTTTCCCAGACCCATTATGGGAAGCAGATAAGGAGGCTGAATTAGGAGGAGCTGAGAGGACCTTATGGGACAGTCAGGCAGAGACCCAGGCATCAGAGAAAATGTGTGGATCTGGGAGGCATAATGAAGGAGATCTGGTGTGTAGAGACGGTGTAGGAGGAGGGACTGCAACACAACAGGATGTGTCTGGTCTTGGAGGCTGACATTCTTAAGTCCCTGGTGAGAAAGAGGCGGTCCTGTGGCTGACCGGACGTGGAGGACATGTGCGCGTTCCTTCCTAGTGGGCCGTCCAGGCACACTCCTCTCCACTGCAGTCCAGCAGTACCGGAATCAGCCCTAAAGCCAGGCATCCCTGTGAGCCCAGAATTTCTTTCTCTAGGAATTTGTTGAGGATATGATGGAGGTGGATGAGTAGTTTCATCACAGTTTTACTTACATTTATGAGAAATCACAATTTCTGTAATGTCCGATAGTAAGGGGTATTTTATACAGCAAAATACATGCAGACAGAAAAAGCAAATTGGAGAGTGATATAAATGGCCAGCATTTTTGACGCATCAAGTTTTAATTGGCAGGCTACAAACAGTAAAGAGTAGATATGTGGGGGCAACCCCTTTTCCGGTCCCCTTTCTGTCTCT